AGGACTATGTGCTTTTTAATCTTGTTTCTACCTAAACTGTTATAGATAGAATTCCATGCTTATCCTTAAAAATTTCCACTGAGATTAATCTTTCTTTTAATCATACTTTTTTAATTTTATTTTAGCACTACCTTTGGCACAAAAATCTGTAACAGATAACTCTTAAAATTCCATTTATACAAGTACTGCCACTTGGAAAAAGCTTTGTTGCTTCTCTGCCTTTCAAATGAAATCATAGGAATAATATTAAAGCAAAAACTCAAGGCAGGGACAATCCTGATCTCAACCTGATATTTTGAAAATGTAACTACTGGGCATCGTTCTCCTTTTGCCTACCCAATCTCAATTGGAAGTAGCTCTGTTAAATTACACCACTCTATAGACTTGTACCACTCTTCCATTGTTCCAACATTATTGACTTTATATGAGTTACTTTTCATTTCTCATTTGACTGAGCAGAATCAGGCCTCCTGTATTTAAGTATCATTTTAACATAAAAGTTGTGATGAAATCCAACTAGGAAAAATGCAAAGTTCAGACTAGGCATGTTAAAATGTGTTTATTTGGTAAACATGTCACTGCTGAAATTTTCTCCAGCTTCCCACAAGCACCAGCTGCCACCGAGCTGTCCACCCCTTCCTTCCCTCTTCCCTGCTGCTACCAGAGCACAGGGAGCCAGCTTTAAAGATGGCTCTCTATGCGTACCGGCTTCTGCCTCCCCCCTCATGCTACAGCTTCTGTACAGCGTGTCCCCACTATAAGTCACCCTGGTTTACATCTGTGTCATATTAATGTCATTGATGCTTGTAGGAACTGATGTGTTATAAGTCCTCCCATTCCCTGCTCCTAAGTTGCGCAACTCCCCCTCCCCACCAATTTGAGCCAATGGAAGTCAGCCACAGGGCAAAAATTTCCCTGCTTTAAGTTGTTTCGCTGTACAGCCAGTCCCCAACTTACAAACGCATCAATGTACGAGCAGCCACACTTACAACCAGCCTCCCATTAAGCACGGCTCTGACTTACAAATGGCGATCCGCGCTTATGAACAGCGCAGTCCCATTGAAATGAATGGGGTCTGATTTACGAACACATCAAATTACAACCAAGTGCTTGGAACGTTACTCGTTTGTAAGTCAGGGACCGGCTGTAAGTCCAATTGTTTTGGAATGCATCTTGTTGTGAGGACAGCCTGCATCAGAGCTAGCAGTGTGAGGGGGAGAGGAAGGGGAAGGTGGCTCCCTGGAAGCCGGTGCTCGCAGGGAGCCTGACAGTTCTCCACAAGCACCAGCTCCTGCCTGTCCACCCTCACGCTGCTGCCTTTGATGCAGAGGCAGCACAGTGGGGGTGAAGAGGTGTTGGGAAGAGTTTAACTGATGAGCCCAAGATCACTGGTTAACCACTTACACATTTACATTGTCTTAGCCCTAGTTCAGACTGATTCACCTAAGTATTGGAGCATATATAGTAGATAATATAACAAGATATACTCTGTCACACCTCTGTTTATGGTAGTCCTAAGACTATCACCCTTGAATCTAAGCACCAATATACATCATAGAAAGAATTAAGTTGGGAAAGTTGGTATTTTGCAGTTAATTTGCTTCTACCATTTGGAGTATGACCTTCGGGCTGAAACATGTAGTCCTGCAGTGGGCAATAACTTTTGACTGGGGGCTACTTCAGAAATTTTTGAAGTGGCCCCAGGCTGCCCCAGAAGGGGTGGGACCTTAGGCGGAAGGGGTGGGGCCAAGTCACTGCCATGTTTTCCCATGCACAGTCCCTGATTTGACATGAAGTCCTGCCACCCCCAGGGTATGTCTACACTACCACCCTAGTTCGAACTAGGGTGGTAATGTAGGCAACCGGAGTTGCAAATGAAGCCCAGGATTTGAATTTCCCGGGCTTCATTTGCATAAAGCCGGGCGCCGCCATTTTTAAATGTCTGCTAGTGCGGACTCTGTGCCCCGCGGCTACACGCTACCGTTACGAGGAGTCCGAACTACCTAGTCCAAACTACCTAGTCCGTGCTACCTAGTCCGAGCTACCTAGTCCGTGCTAAGCCTAGTCCGAACTACCTAGTCCGTGCCGCGTGTAGCCGCGCGGCACAGAGTCCGCACTAGCGGACATTTAAAAATGGCGGCGCCCGGCTTTATGCAAATGAAGCCCGGGAAATTCAAATCCCAGGCTTCATTTGCAACTCCGGTTGCCTACATTACCACCCTAGTTCAAACTAGGGTGGTAGTGTAGACATACCCCCAGAGAGAACTGCCAGCTGCTCAGAACAGCTCGTGGTTCCCTCTAGGTGCCCACACCTCTGATGGTAGGAGGAGACTGCATTCCTCCCCGCCCCCTCAGGTCAATCAGGGCCTGAGCAGTAGCTAGTAGTTGGCTCTAAGTGCCGAGCCTCTTGCAAGGCAAGAAGAGACTTCATGTGCTCCCTCTGCCCCCAGGCCAATCAAAGCTTGGGGAAGAAGGGAATGGGCTAAGTTTCTTCCCGCCCTGCCCCCATACTGCAAGGAGTGTGTGGCACTTCTAAGCACGACACACTCCTTGCAGGTCAGGGGCCAGGGTGGGATGAGGCTTCACATGATTCTGATTGGCCTGGGGGCAGGGAGAGTGCGAAGTATCTAACCCCTGCCCTCAAGTATGCAGAGCTTAGAGGCAACTGCCAGGGTTGACTCTAAGCACCGCGCACTCGCCCATCCCTAGGCCCTGATTGGCCTGGGGGCAGGGGAGCGGCAGGACCTTCGTGGGTTGGATCAACCCATTTGGCAGGCTGGATCTGGCCTGCAAAGGCCCTTTTGCCCACCTTGGTGTAGTCCTAACTATGCTGTGTATTAACACATGTGAAAGACTTCATACTTTAAAATGTGGTTTGAGGGGTAGACCATGCTCTGTAGTCACCATATGCCCCATTTTGGCCAGGACAGAACCATTTTAAAGCTCTCTCCTCTGTGTGTGTGTGTGTGTGTGTGTGTGCGCGCGCCCGCGCGCATTTGTCCTGTTTTCTCCTGCCAACTGATCATCACAGGAGGAAAAGCTCAGGAGAAAGGTTCAGGCTGGGACAACTCCAACAAGTGGGAGAGCAACAGGGCAGCAGGGGGGCTTGGGCAGATCCCAGGAACGAGGGGGAGAAGGGAGCCTTGGGCTGGTCTTATGCAGGGAGGTGCTGGGCAGGAGGAAGTTGAGTTAGCCCAAGCCCAAGCATGAGGTAGAGAGGAAGGCCTCAGGGCAGAGAGGGGTGTCCCTTTTCCCTCTTGAGAAAATATGGTCATGCTAAGTTAGGCCATGCTCTTTTTGTCCAGTTCAGACTGAACTGCTGAACTATTACAATTTCTTTTGCTGCCCCTCCCCCCAGCAATCAACGTTTGTTTGTTTATTTAGTAAGTAAACTTTGGTTGCTGAGAGGAAAAAAACCACTTTCTCATTATCTATTAAGTAAATACCCTTTGGATTCTCCCCCAATTTCAGGAAGATTCTTATGACAACAAATTATTGGCTCCTCCATACCAATTACCATTTGCCAGATATAAAAACCAACCAAACAAGCAACTATATGAAGGCAAAGCATTGGACAAGAGCAACTATTCTCAGTGGAATTACTGAAAGTAGGGCATTTATGAATAGAAACCTCACAAGCTCATGGTGCTAGGAAAGGTTCCAACTAACACTTTGCTGTGCTGCCATTTCAGGGCAGGAAAATTTTGTCAGTGGTGGCTCTGGGAACAGTGTGAGACCTTCTGTCTGGTTGGAGCTAACTCTTGAGAGCCTTTCTCATCCTTTCCTCAGTCAGGCTTCTAATGAATCCCAAAGCTTTGCCTGAAAGGATGTCAGGAGCTGTCCTGCCTCATTCACTTTCTCTTGTAATCTTAAACCAGGCTCAGGGCTTCGTGTGTAATGAAGGAAGATCCAGGCTTCAAGCAATTTTCCTTCTAATCTTTTCCATTCATGTGTAGAATAAATGTGTGATGTGCAGGGAGACATATGTGAAAGTGCAGCGCCAGCAGAAACAAAAACCGAGCTGTGGCGCTCTGCTAATCAGCCCCTGGCATTTGAATCTCTCCTGCGCCACCACAAGAGCACAGCTCACAAGGAACGCTGGCCTCAAGCATGTTTTCAACTTTCATTACGGGCACTGCACGCCTAGAGGTGCCGAGGCTAGGAACTGCCGCGCCGAGAAGAGCCGGGGCTCAGCCCTGGCACCAATTAAGCAGGGACAGGCCCACTTTAGAAGCCTTTGGGGCAGAAGAGCGGGTCAGGCAGGGCTGGGGCAGCAGTGGCTCCCGCCTCAAGGAACGCTGGCCTCAAGCATGTTTTCAACTTTCATTACGGGCACTGCACGCCTAGAGGTGCCGAGGCTAGGAACTGCCGCGCCGAGAAGAGCCGGGGCTCAGCCCTGGCACCAATTAAGCAGGGACAGGCCCACTTTAGAAGCCTTTGGGGCAGAAGAGCGGGTCAGGCAGGGCTGGGGCAGCAGTGGCTCCCGCCTGGGGGG